GCTCCCAGCACGCAGCTGGGACGCTGCAAGCCCTGCTGGGAGCAGCCCAGGCTCCAGCAGCTACCCAGAGCCGGGGTAGCTGCTAGCAGCCACAGAGCCCAGGCTGTGGGGCAGGGGCTTTGGGTGGGGGGCAAGGGGCAGTAGGGCTGGGGGGGCAAGGGGCACAAGCAGGGCATCCTGCCATGTACCCCTTGCCCTCATTTTGTTTTTCTGCCATGCTGGCACTCCAGCACCTTCCGAAGTAGGAATTGTGTTTTTCAGCACTCCGGCCAAAAAACGTTGCCTACCCCTGATCTATAGAGACAATATAGCTTGAGAAATATGTGGTTACCTTTTCCAATAGTATTAATATGTCTTAATGAAAAAGACAAATCTACTTCTATTCTTTCACAGCAAAGCAACATTTAACTGGTCTTTCAAAATCAAAAAGAAAAGTGAAGAACAAAAAATCATTCTGTATTGTTTGTAGCAGGGCACTAGGGTGCATGCTACTAGAAGTGCTGGGATAACCGTTCAGGTGCTGGTTGCTGAGGCAACCAAAGGGAGCTAATGGCTTACCTGCCTAAGCCAGCTGAAGGAAGGGGCAGAGCCTGGCCCCTATATAAAACACAGGCAGGAGGCCAGAGGCAGTTCCCTACTAGCAGCTAAGGAGGAAGGAGCTCCCTGCCAGAAAAGAGAGAAGCCTGAATGCCAGAGCAGTGTTGGTCACCGCAGTAGGATAGAAAACCCGGTAGGCCTGAGCATAGTTATAACTAATGGCTTATGTTTAAATTGTTGCCAAGAGGCTGGTGTTTATGTTAGTTATTGATTACACCGGTGGTTTGGGTGAGGCTATAAGGGGATGGAGGAGGCCTCATAGGGGACTCACGGTAGTGTGAGGACCCCAGCCCCAGTGAGGGCACAGTGTTCGGGGTGTACAGAGCCCAGCTCCAGAGAGGGGTGGATGAGAAACCCCAGAAGAAGGGATAGCGGTACGGTGAGCCCGGAGAGAGGGCTGCGTTGCCGAGAAGGGGCAGCATTACAGAGAAGGCCCCAGAGAGAGGTGTGGAGAGAGACAGGGCCACAAAGTGCCTAAGTGCCAGAGGGGGTGTAGACCCAGACAGAACATCGTCTTTTCCATCTGCGAGGCTTGGGGCGTGGTATTGGGGTGGAAGGAGCCACGCATAGCCCACAAGGCTTGGATATACAGAACACCCGAAGCAGGAGAACTGTGACCAAGTAGAAGAAAGGTAGCCTCCCTATAAAAACACATATACAAAGTCGTGGCGGGCGAGAATAGGAGAGTACGAGTCAGAAGCTTGGCACAGTAAAGGAGGCGACAGGGGATAGCAGGGTGACCCTGACATCGCTCCTGTTACAGTTACAGAACACAGAGAGTGATGAATGGTAAAAGAAACAACAAAAGAGGAACGCAGAAAAAAATCCACAAAAAGTAAATATGGTACTATATGTATGTTCTGTAAATTCTGCAGTAAGAGAAATATTTTTCATGCTGTTGAGAACAGACATCACAAAAAATATGGGAACAAGTAATTCCAAAAATATAGTAAAATTTTGGGATAAACAACAATTCAGCTGAAATTGTTTTATGTACAAATTAAGAATAATCCAATGGTATAAATTCCTCAAAGGATTTGGGATAAGTACTGGGAATATCCAAGGAACAAAAACTTAAAGAAACTAGATAGAGCTTGCCTATTATATCTGATGTTTCTGGCACAGAAATACATTCTCTTGATACAGATAACTAAGACCATGACCATACCCTCCAGCTGGATAAATCTGTTTGGAGATGCCATGGAACTAAAACAAAGCTGTAGAAAACTGACAAAACCTGACTCATGAAAAGCATGATAATGGCTTTGGAGTACAGTGAAACAAATTTATAATATGGCTAATCTTCCTTAAGGTAATCTACGCATCAAAGATATACTGTCACCTTGATGTTTATTTAGGATGTATGAATAAAAATTACTTCACTTAAAAAGACTCATAAATAAACCCATAAAAATGCTTTAACCAACCTCACACTATTTATTGTCAACTGCAGAAACAAAATCACTACAGTGAACAAATGCAGGCACAAAAACTAACATGCAAATTTATTTATTCCTTCTATACTACCGGAATACTGATTGAACAGCCATTTCCAATATCATGCAAATTTTGTTTAACAGCATTAAGTATTTGCTACAAAGACAGATACATTATTTAGCTGACAACAGAGATTATCAAATACTATATTTCCAGTATAAAGAAGCTGGTACACTATTATGACTGAGACCTGATAATTAAATATCACTTTTAAAATGGAAAACACTAATTACTTATTTTCTTTCCATAACCAGATGGAAAACAATATATTAGAGAAAGGTCATGCAAAACAACACATACTTCATAAATTCAGACTTCACATTCAAACATTGTCTTTACAATTAGAGTAACACGATTGTTAAAACTATTTAGTGCAATGATTGTGAAATTATGTACCTATAATAGAGTACTCAATCAGTGAGAGGACATTACAATCGAAATATCTGTTAGTTCTAATACTACATCCAGATAATGTCCTCTACTAAGCCTATCAGCATACCACACAAATAAAACCTGCAAAGACAATAGTAACCACAGACCAAATTGACGTGATGAGATGTGCAGTTAGCTAATTCTATATGTATAAATACATAAACACCAACATTTTTTATGCTAGATAAACTGAATAGTTAAAGAAAAGTATGAAATTCTGAGTTACAAAGGACACGAGGAATTTCAGTGTTGTGACTTCTGATTTTCTAAATTCAGATAATACCACATAGTATAAAGTTAATCAAAATTCTGTCTGATGTAATTAGAGCTATTAGGTGGGATAATCAAATATGATCTTTGTATACTGGAACATATATTTAAAGTCTGCCTTTCATTTTTATAAGAAATATTCATTGTAGACTTAATCCCAAAAATATGCTTTTGCTACATACTTCATTAGCAAGGAACATGACTTCTAAGCAATAAGCGAAGTAAAGGATAAGCACTGACTTTATTTGGGGAAGGGAATATTAAGGCAGCTGGGGGGGGGTAAAATATTTATTGTTTAATGCCATTATTTTTTCTATTCATGAAAATGCCTGGAAAAAAGTTAGATGTTAGGGAAGGCTACCTAAAAATATGCAGTATCTACCATGACTATGAACTGACAAACTAAGGATCTCAAGAAAATTATTTAAACACAAGCATGCACTGCTCTGAACTGATCAGTTCCTTTTACAGAATGCTCTCTCTTTCCTCTCCAAAGCCTGCAGCATCTGAGGCGGTAACAGTGTGGAGTTCTGATGCATCTTTTGATAGCCTGGTATAACTTGAACGCTGACTTCGCTTGTGAGCCACACTCTTCAGGTTCTCATTCTGAACAGCAGTTGAGTTAGAACTTGTGCCAGGCCGCAGGATAATTTGAGGGGACTCCCTGATACCTTCGGTTTCTTCAAAATTTTGATTACCTCTATTAGCTGGAGCACTGTTATTATTTAGAGTGACGGTACTAGGGGTTCTGTTTAAATTATAGACTTTCTGGCAAGCAGGCCAATTCTCTTCAGGACTGCTTGCTATTAAGCTGCTCTCTGAAGGGCTTTTCTTATCTTCTGAGCAAATAGACATGCGTACTACAGCTGGATCTTGAAGACCACTCAGGCTGTGTGGAATCCCTCTCTTTCCACTGTGGCTATCATCTTCTAGTTCAATGAGATTTGCCTTTTCAAGCTGAGAATCATCTGCTCCTTCATTATGAAGGGAGTGATTTGGAGAACTTTCATTGGATCTCACACCAGAGTCAGAAGAATCTTTTTTATCTAGAAGAGCATCTGTCAAATACTCCTTTGCTTTGATGAAGGTTCTGATAGGCTCAGATCCATGTTCTGGAGATTTTGGCTGTTTGTCCATTTTTCCATCCATTTTCTTGTCCTTACCTTCCTTGAGAAGTGGAGTATTATCTGACTCTTCAGTTCCAGACTCATCTTCATCACTTGGAAGTTTCTGATAGCGCAAAGTAACTCCCTTTAGTTTTATATCTGCTGCCTGGAAAATGCTTGTTCTTTCTGAAGATTTCTTTCCTGGGAGAAGCTTGGAACCTGACTGATCAGATTTTTCATCTTCCTCAGTGATAGGATCCAAAGGAGATGCATCATTAGTGGAAACACCTGAAGTACTGTAATCTACATCATTTCTCTTCAGCAGAAAGGACTTTCTTCCATCATCTTGTTTCTGTTCACCATCTTTTCCTTTTTCTTGTTCAATACCGGAATGGAGGGAGCCTCCTGATGTACTCTGCCCCATATAGAAAGCTGTTGTGCTATGTGGGGAGGACCTGCCACTTACAGTAGTGGAACTTGCACCCCCTTCTAGTTGGGACATTTGAGCAATATATTCTCTATACGCATCTCTATATTCTGCTTGCACCTTATCAGTAAGCTTTGAGATTTCAATACTGGAATCTTGAGAATTGAGACTTGAGAGACTGGGAGTTCTGCGAGTTTGTGACTGAAAAAGGAAGGGAAAAGATCAAGTTAAATAAAGCAAAACTAATTTATTATCCTGAGTGTTTACAGATGATTTTAACATAATATAATTGGAAGCAATGAGTATGTGCATGTATTAAACTTTTGTCCGTCATGCATCATCAATTGTAAGTTCTCAATACCCACTCAAACAACATATAGATATGCCCAATACAGTTATAATTGCAGTTAGGCATTTTCATCAATTTGGCAAAAACATTGTCATTTCTGTTTAATTGCAAAAGTACATGGATATACAAAATCTGTACTTTATCAAATAGATTTAAAAGTTTACTTTTACTGTAATTGCCAGAATTATCCTTGGAAACCTGGCTCTTCTCCTACGTACAAAACTTAGCTTTTATTTTCATTAACAATATTTCATCTCATTTTTTGACTAAACAATCTAAAAGCATTGGTGCTGGACATATGCTGCCAAAATTTTCATGGAATTTAGCAGAAAATCTAACTCGGACTAAGAATCTTCTGTCCCTCACCTCTCCTCTTTGTTCCTTCTCTCTTCCCTTTTCTCTCACTTGTCCTCTTCTTTGTCCTCTTTTGTTCCTCCTCTCTTGCCTATTTTTCTGTATCTGCTCCATTTCTCCTCAAAAGCTGTTCATGCACCCTTCAGCGAGCAATCATGTACAAGACCACTAGGAAGTCTCACCTGCAGGCTACGGTTGTATCCCCTTTGCACTACTACAAAGATCCTGTGGTTTAGTTTTTATTCTGGGATATATTTTACAATATGGATTCCCTTCTATTCACTAGATGTCTGTGAAATAGCCAAATAAGATTAATTATGAATAATATGGTACCTACAACAAGTGCTCTATATTTTATGACTACTAGAGTACTTCAGTATCCATAATGCAATACTTCAATGCACGTACTCATGTATTTATGCATGTATGCTTTATTCAGTAGAGAGTTTCACATCAATAAGTATTTTGGACATCCATTTCCAAAACTGTTTTCACCCCTTTAGAAAATAAACTGTATTTTGTTTCTTTACTTATGCAAACTTGATATAAATCCTCTGAATGATGCTTCCAATGCTCCCTAAGAAGAGAAAAATCAACCAACTACTACTACTTCTGAGCTAATTTACCTCTTACTATTGTAGTTCTAAAGTTGTGACCATTCAAGACGAGTCTTTTTTTTTTTTTTTTTTTTTTTTACACTTGTCTTGCAAAAACTGTTTCCCTTATTCTTGTACTCACAGCACATAATAAAAATGCACACTAAAAATAACTAGCTTTACCATCTTGGGATTGAAAAGGACAAGCTGATATTTAGTTACAAAAATATGAATCCAGGATTTTACCGAAAGTATAAATACAAATTTTTTTTAGCTATGTCCGAAACCCTTTTGTTTACATTTAAGTGTAAATATTAACAATTTGGCCAGGAAATAGTTTGAGTATCAAACTTTAGTCACAAACCTGACATGTTATAGTCTAGAAGGCTAGCTACATCTCAAATTGGGCAAAGATTGAGGCACTGAGAATAAAAGTTTTGAAAAACTTGATCAAAGTATTTACTCTTTTATGGACTGTGCTCACAGAAACCATCCAAACAATCCCCTTTTAACTAATACTTTTTCCAAAGATTCTGGTGTAATCTTAAAACAGTGGTTCTCAACCTTTTCAGACTCAAGATACCCCTCAATAAACCCGAGGCATTCCTTGGAAAATGCTAGCTCTTAGTTTTCATTTCTTTTGGAGTGTAGAAAAATAACAGAGTAACTCTTCTATTGAAAATAACTATACAGACCACAACAGGTCAAAATATTTACTACTATGGATTCCTATCTGAAATCGCTGGCCGCATGTGTGTGTGCTTGGAGGAGGGAGAATGGGAGGGAAGGGAATTTTAACTGGAGCTTTTCCTGGACAGCTGCTATAATTAAAACAGCTCACCATCACATGTATTACATC